TTCGAGTGTGTGGTTTACATTTTGAAGATGAGATGTATACAAATGTCCAGAGAAAGCGACTTCCGCAAAATGCAAAACCTACACGGTATTTGGATGAAGCAGGCTCATCTAACACATCTGCATATAATACAGTATCATGACCAGGTAATGTAATATTATACATGGTTTCCTGTAGAATACACATTGTTTTATTTTTTTTAACTTTAAACCTTCAATAATAACCTATATTAAACCTTTTACAGATATATCAGTTTCTGAGGACAACAATCACGAAATAAATTTATCTGTTATCTCTGTAGAGAAACAAACAGAAGAAGTGTCTGTAGAAATGATTAGTAAGTAATTTTTTGATAGTTTATTAGGACTAAAAAGTATGAATAATCAAGTATTTCATAACCTATATTACATGTTTTACAGATATATCCGTTCCCGAGGACGAAAACAATGCTACATCAGTAAGCTGTATAGGAAAACAAACTGAAGAAACCTCTGTAGCAATGAAGAGTGCACACACTGTAGCTACACAAACTGGTGTTTGGTATTTAAGTTCACCAAAAATAATTAAACTCAGACAACAAAACAAAATATCTCAGCTGCAAAAACAAGTAGTTTCATACAAAAAAGTGTTGGAGCAACCAGCATTGGAACGCATTACAGTCCATGATGTGAAAGCAATATTAAAAAAATTATTTCCAGAAGAAATGTCACCATTTCTCATCCATCAATTTGAACTCCACCAAAAGATGCAGGCGCGGACGACGCTACTCTAATGATTTTAAAAGTTTTTGTTTAAAATTATATTTTTTAAGCCCAAAAACGTATTCATTTTTGGAGAGCTTTTTTATTGTGCCATGTAAGAGAACACTCTCAAGAGCAACTGAGAATATGAGACTAAAGCCTGGAATTAATGACAATATATTTGATATGTTAAAAATGAAAATTGAAACAATGAACTCCAAAGATAGACACTGCTCCATCTGTCTTGATGAAATGGCCATTAAAGCTCATTTGTTTTTTAACATTTCGACTAATGAAGTTATTGGCTTTAAGGATATAGGTCATGCCCGATCATTCCATCCAGCATTTAATGCTATATGTTTTTTAGTAATGGCGAGGGGTATATATAATAACTGGAGGCAACCCCTAGCTTATTACTTTGTACATAGCACTTGCAAAGCAAATAATTTAAAAGTCATTATATTTTTTTCTGTTCAAGCTTGTCAGTGGTCTTTCTGATTCACCGTCTTTACTGGCTAGGATCGACTTTCATGTTCCCCCGCGGCAACTGCGATATGACTTTTTGTTTTACGCACTTATGCCGCAAACAAATGCTTATCGGAATTCCCCTATTTTCAGGATGGAGCGTACCGCTGATCGCATTAATTGCGATTTATTCGCGTATAATCCAGGTAGTGTTAAGCGCAACATCAGAACCGCCATTATATCTTCACCTGCCGTATCGCTATGATTGTAATTGTTTTAGAAATTAGAATTTTTTTTTTAGTTGTACTTCACAAATGTATGTTGTGGAACAACTTTATTGGGTTCGTCCCGTTGTTGTTCTCTTGTTCAAATAAATAAATAAATAAATATTAAATATTATTGAAAAGTTAATGCATATCGGTTTATCAGTGAAAGCTGTGATCTCTGATATGGGTTCCAGCAACATGGTGCTTACAAAAAATTTGGGAGTAACTCCTGAGGCCTCATATTTTATTTACGAAGATAAAAAGATCTTTTATATCTTTGATCCCCCACATTTAGTGAAAGCGACTAGAAATAATTTATATACCAATTACATTTATATACAATTTTGAGAGTGAGGGGAATTTTGCCTGCTGGAAATACATTGAAAACCTTTATAATGTTGATAAGAAGTTAGGAAACAAATTAGCGCCAAAATCAGCGCTGTTGGTTAATGTGATCAGAAGATCACATTAACCCAACAACCTTTAAAAAAATTAAAGTTAAGCTGGCTACACAAGTCCTCAGTATGTCAGTGGCCAATGGTTTGGGTGTATTAATATAATTAGGGGTTATTACAACCGAAGCAGCAGAAACTCAAAAAATTATCGAAATGTTTGATTCACTCTTCGATATTCTTAATTCAAATGATTTAAACTCTACCAAAAAAATGAATAGACCATTTAAAGGAAATGATGAACAAATAGACTTTTTAGAGAATACATTAAGGTAAAACAAGTATTGAAATCTGTTAAGATTTATTTCAAAATTAGCAGTTTGGGTTGCATAAAGTATACAATTTTATTTTTAATTTTGGTTAAGTCGAAAACAACTTTTTGTCTTCCCAAAAAGGTATATAAGAGCCCCGTCTTTCGATATATTTTAACGTCGTACCGGTCATATACAGGGTGTAACTTAAGTGATGACTTTAATTTCAAATTAAAATTTGTCATCAAAAAAAGGTATACCTAATTGAAGTCGATAGGAGCAACTGTTTTAGGACATGTAAGACATTCTTATTGATGTTAAGATTTAAAATAAAAACATTGTTTTTGTTGACATTGTTGATTTTGAACATTAAAAGTGTCAAGATTACTGTCAGTTTAATATCTGTTCTTTTGCAGTTAACTATGAATAACGTTGAATTAGCTGAAATGCATTTGATTTATGGACTAGCAGATGGAAATGCTGCACAAGCCCGTCGACTTTACCAGGAACGATATCCCAATAGACCACTTCCAACAGCAAGAACTTTCATAAGGCTACATGCTAGAGTGTGCGAAACTGGATCTGTATATGCTCACGCTGAACGTATTGGTAGACCGAGAACAATAATGACACCACAACTAGAAGAAGCAATCTTACAAGAAGTGGCTAATTCGTCAAGTAGTACGCGAAAATTATCTGCACAGTTTAACATCAGTCATCAAAGTGTTTGGAGGGTTTTGCACAGAAATTTACTTTATCCATACCACATTCAACGCATGCAACTACTGTTGCCAAGAGATTTTCCTGCACGGTTAGATTATTGTCGATGGTTTCTCGAAAAAACTACGCAGAATCCCAACTTTACGTCTAAAATTCTATTTGATAGAAAAAATTTCGAATTTTGTTGTACTTTTACTGGTTTATTTATATTTTTGTTGTCTAACTAGTTTCGGCAAAAGCCATCATCAGAGACAAAAGTCATTGTATCTTACAGGAAATTAACATCGAAAATATAAAGCGGTGAACAAATTAAAATTATTACTGTCACAAAATTTACTTAAAATACATGTAAAAATTCTTTTACAAAACTTTAAAGATTTAACTCCGCATGGACATCTTTTGTGGTAGATGTTACAAGATGGTCTTAAAATTCTATTCACAGATGAGGCAAGTTTTTCACGTGATGCCATCAGAAACTTCCACAATAATTATTTTTGGGACTATGAAAATCCCCATGCCATTGAAGAACGTGGATTTCAGCAGCAGTTTTCGGTCAATATTTGGGCCGGAGTTCTTGGTGATCATGTCATCGGACGCATTTTCTTCCTCCTCGACTGAATGGTGAGACTTCAGCCGTGGCCACCACGATCTCCAGACCTTAATCCGCTGGACTATTTCTTTTGGGGACATCTGAAATCGCTTGTTTATGCAACGCCAGTTGAAGATGTACATGATTTAAGAAACAGAATTGTAAATTCTTGTAATGTCATACGCAACACTCCAGGAATTTTTGAACGTATGCGACAGTCGATGAGCAGAAGATTACATGCTTGTATTGAAAATCGCGGCTCTCATTTTGAGCATTTGATTTAATTAATGTTTGATAAATAAAATATTATTATTATTGTACATTCAAATAAAAATTCACAAATAAATGTTTTTTTGAAGGTTATATTATTATTTATTTTCTCAACTTTAACACCCTATATCTTGGAAACGAAGCATTTGCGGACCCATGTTCGTATGAACTTTTGTGCTTAAAATATAACAAGGAATCACCCCTTGAAATTAAAGTCATCACTTAAGTTACACCCTGTATATGTATAACAAACAAACTTCGCAAATTTCAAAAACAAGTGTAAAATAAATAAAATAAAGAATAATTAAAGTGTGTTTGAATCAGCGCATTCCAGAAAAAATAAGTAACAAAATATATCGAAGTATTTCAATATAAATTTATTTTATTTATAGATATTTCAATAATGTTCGCATAATATCCAAAACGGACAAGGATGTTACAAAATCCACGAAATTTTTAAAATCCTGGTAAATTTCAATAAAGGGCCTTATGTATTTGTGGAGGTGTTTAAAAGATGAGGGTTATGAGTTCCTATTAACCAGGCGTCTTAACCAAGACTCATTAGAACATTTTTTTGGGCAAGTGAGGAAACAAGGAGGGTGTTCCATAAATCCAACTCCTATACAATTCTCAAGAGCTTTCAAAAAATTATTTACCATGAAATTTTTAAATTCTGGAGGCGAAAATTGTGCTGAGGATCATGGTGCAGTTTTAGCCCACTTCCAAAGTTTTGTAACTGAAACTAATGTAAATAATCCTGATACTATTAGTGAACCACAAAAAAAAGTGCAAACAGTCGATACCGACTACCGTTTGGTTGAACAAAATTCAATTCGGTATATTTGTGGTTCCTTATAAAAAAATGTTTAGGACAGCATTCATGCGGTATATGTCAGGAGTATGCACGCAGCCATAAAGATTTGGACGACACCTCCATTTTATGTCGTATGAAGCGTATGAAGAGCAAAGGGGCGCTACATTCGGAAATTTATATATGCCACATGACAATTTCTATACGTATATTTGTAGCCTTGATTTAGTATATAAAAAACATTTTGAAGAGTTCATACGAGGAAATGGTGTTTTAGAACAGTTTCTTTCAGTTTTTAAGTCTTTACATTTTAAACACCCTTGTAAATATTTTCCAAATATTTATTTAATAAGATTGTATGGACGTATGAGAATTTATCAATAAAAATTTTAAAACTGTGAGAAACCACTCAAAAATGATTAGGGTAAAATGCCCTATCGTTGGCACTTAATCAGTCATTGGCACTATTCTCATAAACTACACATTTTTAAGTTTTTAACGCTACTAGCTTTAGAAATCTTGCAATAGATGGAAGCACCCGACTGCTACGTCTCGAGTAAACATAACCTCCAGTCTGTTAGTTCTAATATGTCCGAAGCAAGTGTACGTGTTTGAACGTGTTGCAACTTAAGGGGAAAAACTAACAATTTCCGTAAGCATACGACTTTATATAACCATTCATATTTCAAATTATTTCGAAAATAACGTTTGTAGACTTTATATATCTGAAAGTAAAGGGGTTGTTTATTGATTGTTTTATTATAAATTACTAGGTATGTTGCCATTTTCGTTAAATAATTGAGGTGCCAACTACTAGGTTCTAAAAATTGCAAAATTCTAATGATTGTCACCCGTGCCAATTAGTAGTTTAGTGCATCTATATCAGACATTCAATAATTGGCACTGTGCAGTTTTAAGTTTTTTTCTGACAAACCCATGCTTTTTTTGATGCTTTAGATGCCGAAAGTTAAGTCGAAATCAGCCTATGTGAAAGGCTATACAGAAGACTATCTTCAAAAGGCTCTTACAGAAATAAAAAATGGCGAATCAAAAAAAGCCGTTGCTAAAAGGTTTGGAATACCAAGGTCCACATTGCAATTTAGGTTAGGGCCCCATTTTTCTAAAATTCGACCTGGACCACAACCCTACCTAACAGATGATGAAGAAAAAACTTTAGAGGATTGGATTTTGGAAAGCCACAGGAAAGGTTTCCCTAGAAGAAAGATTGATCTTCAAATGTCTGTAAAATATTTCTTGGACAATAATAAGAGACCAAATCCCTTTAAGGATAATATACCAGGATCACGATGGTACCAATCGTTTCTAAAGCGTCATCCATTACTAACCAGCCGTTCTTCAGAAGGTGTTACACCAGCGTCTGCTGCCGTCGCAGAAACAGATATCAGGAAGTGGTTTGCGGATATAGAAGAGTACCTGAAAACTAAACACTACTTCTCAATTCTGGAAAATCCCACCCGTGTTTACAATGGAGACGAAACTTGTTTTCTGTTCATACCAAAACTGGGCAAAGTCATTGCTCCGAAAGGAACAAAAAATGTTTATGAGGTCGACCAAGGTAATGCGAAACAAAATCTGACTGTAATGTTTACATTTTGTGCATCTGGAAAAATTGTGCCCCCCTTAATAATATACCCGAACAAAAGACTTCATGCAAATATTACAAAGCATGTACCTGATGAATGGGGATTAGCGTGTAGTGATAATGGATGGATGAAATCTGAAATATTTATAGATTACATCAAAAACGTTTTTTATCCTCATTTAACGAAAGAGAATATTCAATTTCCGGTCATCCTGTTTTTAGATGGACACAAAACCCATTTAACCTTTGAATTAAGCAAGCTATGCTCCGAATTGCAGATTATATTAATCAACTTGTACCCAAACTCTACTCGAATTTTACAACCAGCAGACGTCTCCAACTTTAAACCGCTTAAAAATTCATGGAAACTAGGTGTTCTTAAATGGCGCAGGGAAAATCCGTATTGTAAGTTAGGAAAGGAACATTTTGCAATAATATTAAAAAAAGCTATTAGTGAGCTTAAATCCGAAACAGTAATCAATGGTTTTAAAGCTTGTGGTTTATATCCTTGGAACCCTGATTTAATTGATTTCTCTAAATGTCTTGGTACAAACAAACACATAAATGAGCATCCAGCTACGAAACCAACTTCTCAAAAAGCAAATGAGTTGTCGTTTGAACAGCTGTGTAAAATTTTAGGTCCTACCAAAACCGAAGCAATAGAAAATACCTTCTTAGGTGATTGCAGTTGCTCAGAGAAATGTGAAAACTTCGAAATTTTAAGTAAAATTTATAGGTATTTAAAACCAATATCACAACCAAATGATGAATCTAACGCGGAAAATATTTTCGAAGAGTCTACCATGGAAATAGATATTTCCTATGATGGTTTGCAGTTAACAGAAGAAGAGCTGCTCGATTTACCCATTATTTTTGCTGATTCTGAGGATTATGGGCAAGAAAACCTTCACAAAAAATCCCCACAAAGTCTAGAAGTTACGCATATAGACACAGTGAACCAGGATGACACGTTTGTTGAAATTATAAACCAGACAATCCAGGAAGACAAGTTCGTAGATACTACTCACCCAGAGGATAAGCTTGTAGACCCTACAAAACAAGAAACAGTAGAGCGAAGCAAACCCGAAATAAAAGACTTCCTAGTGTATCCAAAAACGCCAGTACGCACTGGAAAACGAGAAACACAAAGATTGCCATTCGTACTAACGTCCTCTACGTTTAAAAAGATCCACGAAGAAAAAGAAAACATTAAAAAAGAAAAGGAACGTAAGAAAGAGCAAAACAAAATTAAAAGATTAGAAAAACAAAAGGAAAAATCTTTAAAGACCGACAAAACAAAGACTCAGAAAGGAACTCTAAAGGACAGATTTTCAAATAGAAACGTAAAACGAATGGTTGAGAATATCAGTACACCAGAAGAAAATTTAACTTGTTATTATCAACCTACTGCTAATGTGAATGCTATTATTGAAAACTTTGAAGAAGATGAATCAGAAACTAAATCTGATGAAGCTAATCTTAATAGTTGCGTCCTAATAAAAAACAATATTAGTGTGAAGAAAGGTATGTGCTATATCTGCATTTGCAATATTCATATAAAGAATACGGGAATTCAATGTCAAAAGTGTAGTAGATCGTATCATGTATCTTGTTTAAAGAAGAAAGATATGTATCAAGATTTTTTTTTGTGTTCAACATGCATTAGGTTATAAGTGCCTAACAGAGAAAACATTATTTGGTTTATATTTGTTTAAATATTTATTGTTGTGTTAATAAATAAATC